CGAACTTTAGTATTTTTGCATCTTCTTAAGTAATGACCCTTATTATTTTTTGTTATCGTTACATATAAAATAAGTGACTAAACAATCAATTTAGTGATATATTCTTAAAGAAAAGACATTCAAACTGTTATCTTTATGATATTTTAAAAAATAGGTTAGAGATAAAAGTTTCTGTAAAAATTAGTCCAACTTTTTTTATTAATATATTAAAATTGTCTATGAAGTACTGAATTATTTTTTTACTTTTCCAATCTTTGTAAAAACTAACCACACACATATGCTATTTGTTATTTTAATTAACTTAAAAATATTTTCTCATCTCCAATTGAAATAAAATAATTTTTAACCTTTTATGTTACAAATAAAAAAAAAGTTATGCACTTTATGTACTATAATAATAATAAATTCTCACAAAAATAAAAGTAAACTACAAATCTAATGACAATAGATTTTATGTCGATAATTTTATTTGTCTTTTCTTAAAGTATTTATAGTTATTTCACATGACCTCACACATATTAAGTGAAACTAAAGAGCACTCTATTCTAATTGATTCCTAGCATCAATTTATTTAAAAATCTTGTTAATCAAGTAATATTAGAATTTTTAAAGATAATTTTATTCAATAGCTACATCAAATAAAGACATTTATCATTGAAATTCATAAATAACTTAGTAAATTAGACTTTTCATGTACTCTCATTTTTCTTTCATTTTTAGCATATAAATCTCTAGTTGGGGGAGTTGTAATCATTTCAAAAATTATTTAATATTAACAAAATACACCCAAACAGATATCTTGATGAAATTTCAAAAAATAGCTTAGAAATAGAAATTTTGGTAAAAGCTAATTCATTTTCTATTAATTTCTTAAAATTGTTTATTAAGTGTTGGATTGTTTCTTTTACCTTTCCAATCTTCAAGAAAAAAAATTACAATATTATAATAACCCAATTTGAAGATGTAATATGATATTATAATAAACCAATTTGAAGATGTAATGAAGATTAATATATTTTAAATGAGCGTGACACTTATCACATTACTATTTGCTAAAAATTTACATTATAGAAAGTGTGAAGTTATAACCATCTTCAAAACTGTATATTTTAAATCTTCATCTTTTAATTAATCTTATATATATTTTATAAATAAATTTTAAATCATTTTCTATTAATTTCTTAAAAATGTCTATTAAGTGTTGGGTTGTTTCTTTTACCTTTCCAATCTTTAGGAAAAAAAATTATGATATTATAATAACTCAATTTGAAGATGTAATGAGGATTAATATATTTTAAATGAGCGTGACACTTATCACATTACTATTTGCTAAAAATATACATTATAGAAAGTGTGAAGTTATAACCATCTTCAAAACTGTAAATTTTAAATCTTCATCTTTTAATTAATCTTTTATGTTTTATAACTAAATTAAAGAAAGTCAACATTGCACATACAAAAAGGCCATATATATAATAAAAATAAAAATAAACTAACCGCACACATATAACTTTTGTTATTTTAATTAACTAAAAAAACTACCTCATCACCAATTCAAATAAACATATTTTTTTATCTTTTTTATATTATACGGATAAAAGAAGCAGTTTATGTACTATAATAATATTTATAAGTACTCACAAAAATAATAATTAGACTACAATTTAATGACAATAGATTTTATACCAATACTTTGTCATTTCTTGAAAAATTTCCAGTTATTTCATAAGTTTTGCGACATAATAAATAAAAATAAAGAGCACTTGACTAAAACTTATTCATAACATCATTTTATTTGGAAATCCTAGGGATAAAGTCATATTAAGAGTTTTAAAGATAATTTGATTCCATAATCACATCAAATAAAGGCATTTATTATTAAAATACATAAATAATTAACACTAATAGCTATTGATCAGACCCATAGTTGTTATTGGCCGTGCTTCACAATAAAGCAGAGTAAAGATGATTTAAAAATTTAACATTATTAACACTAAACACATTGTACTTCCTTATTTATTAGTAAATATTTTTATATTTATATGATTTTTGACATCGATATTAAAATCATGTGTCTAAATTATCTGATACAATTGATGTGCATAAAGACGGCAACTGCAACAACAATAACAACATACTCAGTGAAATCTCACGAAAATGGAAACTTATAAATTTTTACCTAATTAATTCTCGATAAAATTTGCTTCAAACATGTTCAAATAGAAAAAGAAGAAAAAATCTTATACGAAACTACAAGATATGAAAAGTAATAATACAAAGTGATTTTTCTCCTACCCACGCAATCAAAGAGAAAGACATCCACAAATTTGAGAAGTTCTTTAGCGTTCTCAACAAAAAATGGCTGAGCACTTGATTTTGAGATTTTCCCGTTCATTCTTTACCTTTGATAAAATCAGATAAAAAATAAATCAAGTTAACACAAAATACAAAATAAATCAGTAATTGCCAATTCTTTAATTTTTCAAATAAAAAACAAAATACGCATTGAAAACAATGAGTAAAAAGAGAGTAAGCATATTATTGGCATGGAAACATTGTCTACGAATGAACAAATTGTTTGGATGGTTATGATATATGTAAACGTATATCAATGGAGAAAGGGTAGGGAAAAAAAACTGCAGGGAAGTGGAGGAGTTATGGTGATTTTCTAATTGTCTTATATTTTTACTTTTTCATTCTTTTTATTTTGTTTTAATTTTAATTTAATAATTTAAAATTCATTTTTTTCTTTTTATAACTGCATTACCCTATTTTATAATCTTTTTTATTATATAATCTTAGTATATTTCATATTTAATTAGCAGTAATTAATTTGATAAAATAATTTGTATTTGAAAATTTTAAAACTAAAGAAAAAAATTCAAATGTGACAACAATCTACATAAAAGTATGATATAAATAATTTTATTCTATAAAAAAAAATTGCATTATAAAATGAGTCTGATACTTGCTATTAATTTATTTTTATGGTTAAGGAATTAGTGTAAGCAATTTGCATTCTCTTTGCTACAAAGGAGTAGTTGTGTAAAATTATTTTAAATATTTAGTATAAAACATTTGATGATTTCCCATGAAAATAGGATCCCTAACGTACTTACCAAAATTTTCAGTTTTCTTTTTTTATTATTTTAATTTTTTTTTATTTCAAAACAGTAAATTTAAAATTCAAATTCAAAGAATAGTGTAACCAATTTTTAATTTTAGGAAAAAAAAAAAAAGAATCGTTTTAAAATTAAATGAAATAATTTTAAAAAAATTGAAAATTTATTATTATTATCATCTACATTTTTTTGCTATAAATAAGGAGGTTGTGAAAAGATAGTTAAAATTTTTTTTTAAAAAAAGGGAATCACACACGTTCATATTTTTAGAAAGTAAAAAAACAAATTACATAATTATTTATTTATATCAATTATTTTGAAATTTAAAATAATATATATATATATATATATATATATATTAACCTATTTTAACATTTTGTACTTTTTTGTCCGTTGGTATTTTATTTTAATTTTAAATAGTTTGTTTAAAATTTATTTTTTTATTTTTGTGGTGTTGACATGTGTCATGTCTATATTTATTTATTTAATTATTGATTATGAATTATTTAAAATACTGAAAATTTGTGGTGACATGTATCATTTTTTCTTCTCCTTTTATATATAGATATAGATATATAGATAGATTAGTTTTCCATCATTTTCAACCCTGCTCAATTGATGACCACTAGGCCACTCAAAGCAAGTCAAGAGCACTAATAAAAGAGTAGTTAAAATTAGAAACCATGACCAATTCGTTAAGAGCACCTTAACAAAGTACACTGTACACACCTAATACTCAGATTAAAATCAAATAGTTGCTAGAAAAGGAAAGATACATTCTTATTAAAATGTAAAGTTAAAAAAAAAATAAGACAAACAAATTGAAACGCAGGAAATAATTAGAAAGACAGTCCAGATCATCCCATCCAAGAGGACCACCAACTTTGTTTTTTCTGTACTTCATTGGTAACAAGATTTCACATAAATTCCCATCCTTGCCTTGTTCAAGTGCTACTGCATGGAATCACTAACTTCAAAATTGAAAAAGAAAAACCCATTTAGAGCTGGAAATACATTCAGTTATCATAGATGAATCATTTCTCAGTCCAAAGTTTAATTTTTATTTCTAGCAGTCTGTAGATGTGTTTGTTGTTTGTCTGTGTAATTACTGTAAATCATTGTCCTCAGTTTTGTATAGTAATCTCCAATTGGGTTGTCACAAAAAGAATGTTACATTATAGAAACAATTAATAATATTCTCAATTTTTTACTCTTAATGAGATGATTTATAGTCCCACGAGTTTCAAAAATATTATTACTTCCCTTAACTTTAATGTGAGACTTCCATCTATCATTAAGATAATTTATAACTGCTGGGCATTTGGTCTAGTGGTATGATTCTCGCTTTGGGTGCGAGAGGTCCCGAGTTCGATTCTCGGAATGCCCCAAAACAATTTTTTTAAGCAACTCTTTCCGATCCACAAATTCTGACAGCAAATATTCTTATTCAATACTCCCTCCATTTCAAATTAATATTTAATACTCTCTCCATTTCAAATTAATTAAATTATTGGAGTTTTTCACACCCTTTAAGAAAAGATTAGGACATAAATTAGACATTACTTTTCATTTTTATCCTTATTAATTATTGTCAAATTAATCTTTAGAATAACTAAACACTAATCATTATAACTAATTTCAATACTAACTAAATTTTTTGTTAAACTATATCAATTGAGTCTTCATCCATAATAGTATCGTGAACTATTTCAATCGAATCCTCAAAATCAAAATCCATAAAATCTACTAATTCCCTTTAAAATTTGGTGCAAATGAATAGTATCGACTAACCGGGAATTCATCTTCAGAGCTAAGTCCCAAGGAGGCAGGTTGGAATGTACAATATACTCCAGCGATGGAGTATTAATTTGGCAATAT